TGGTGAAGAGGGAGAACGAGAAGCTCGACGCCACCATCAAGTACGTCCTGGAAGAGGAAGAGAAGTATCACGCGATCGAGGAGAAGAAAATTCTACCAAACCGTTTGATCGTCACCAATCTCGCTGCTAGCGTAGACGAGGAAGCCATCCGCATACTCTTTATCGAGTACAGATGGGACATGTAAGTCTTACACTATACACGTCAGTGAATGCATGCGCTAACTAGAGTTCGCTAGTCGCAACATCACCATCCTTCCCGAACGTGAGCCGGTCAAGAGGACTAGAACGGCATATATCGACATGGACAGCAGGAAGAAGGCGATTCGTGCGTCTTATGAGGTTGGAAGCATCTACGGATTGATTGTGAAGATCAAGTTGGCGGTGGAGTAGAGAGGGATGAAGGCTCACATGCTTGTATGTGGACTACGAGATATCGGGCAATAGTGTATTGTATCTGTGAAAATACTTTTTGAGTAACTACTTAAGAAGGAATACACATCCGGCGTGTATCAAGCAGTACCTTTTTCATGGAAGCGTGTAGCCTCAGACTCCCTTGTCGCTCGCTAGTGCCTTCTCCAGCTCATGATCAGCGCTCAACTCCTTCTCAGCTCCCTCAATCACACCCCTCAGTCCTTTGGCACAGACCTCCAACTGCGCCTTCTCCACCTCGTCAAGCTGAACTGGCATGGCTTTGATGATACCCTTTCGCCCAACTACTGCTGGCATTGACAAGCAGCAGCCCAGCTCAGGCTGGTAGAAGGACAAGGGCCGAACGGATCGTGAGTCGAATAATATATACTTGCAGATGCCAGCCGCGATATTTCCGATGCCGTAGCTTGTGCAACCCTTCGCCGCGATGATCGCGCCAGCTGCTCCACGAGTGTGAGCCGATATTTGGTCCTTGAACTCCTGAGACATCGTGTCTGGCGGAAGAGCAAGAGAAAGCGGTGTTGTGCCAATAGTAGCGCTGGACCACGCAATCTGTATCTTATATCAGCATGTCTATCTCTCCTGTCTCGTCACCCTCTCCTCTCGCCGCAAAGAAACCAGGGAAACTGTACTCACAAACTGACTATCCCCATGTTCCCCCAACACATAAGCATCAATACTACTCGGCGCCACCCCCGCCCTCTCACTCAGCACGCCCCTCAACCTCGCAGAATCCAAACTCGTCCCCGTCCCCAACACCTGACTCTCGGGCAAACCCGACAACCGCCTCGCAAAATACGTCAGGATATCCACTGGATTCGCCACAAGCAGCAAGATCGTGTGCGGACTAATCGGCGCCATGGCACTGAAGATGCTCTCTAGAATGTGCAGGTTACGGGATAAGAGGGATAAGCGTGATTCTCCTGGCTTCTGCTTTGCGCCGGCGGTTATGACGACGATGTCTGCTCGGCCGGCGTCGGCGTGCGTTCCGGCGCGCACGCGGACAGAGGTGCCTCCGCGGTAGGTGGCGTCGTTTAGATCGCGGACTTGGGCTTCCAGGAGCGTGGTTTTGGGGTCTACGAGGATTACTTCTGAGCAGATGGGTTGCAGGATGAGGGTGTAGGCTAGGGTGGAACCGACGTCGCCGCAGCCGAGGATGGCGATTGTGGTTTTTAGTTTGGGAGATGTCATTGCGTCGTTATGGGTTGTTGGTTCTTGTGGTTGTGTGAGTAGGTAGTTGCACTGTCGAGGTGTTTGTGTGGTGGAAGAAGTTAGGTGATGAGAGGCGCGGAATCTGAGTGAGTTATAGGGCTAATAGTTAGAGGCTGTGGAGAGTCCATCGTTTGAGGATATATATACTCTACTCATCCATGTGTCTTGGAAGTCGCATGTTGTGTTACGTTGCCAAGGCCTGGGCTGCTGAGAAGTGGTGTGATCTGGAGTGGAGCTCAGCCACTCACCACCCGCCTCATCGCGCAAACACGTGTTGGCAGCATCATACTAACAATGCTTTCACGGGCCGTTTTCGTGTCATATCTTACTGTGCCCAAAATCGGATGCATACCCCCCGACGTATATACTATCTTTTGTACTCAGAACAGTTCAGTTTCAAGGTCGGCGGTCAGGAGCTCCAGGTCCAACCTCCTTCGCAGTGGTGAAGGCAGACGTGTACATATTAAGCCCACTGTTCATGCAGCTCATCCTCCAGGGGCAGCATCGTCTTTTGCAGTTCCTTCGACACCTTGTCAGCCTCCTCCCAGACACGAAGAAGGTTCCGTCCTGCGATCTTTGCAGCATCCTCATCGCTTATGCCCTGTCTCAGCAATTCGGCGATAAGGTCAGGGAACTTAGATACGTCCTCCAACCCCTCAGGAGTGGTCTCAATACCGTCATAATCCGTGCCAATACCAACGTGATCATACCCAATCAGCTCTCCAATGTGTCTGATATGACGTACGACGTGCGCTAGGGTGTTGTTCTCTGGGACGAAATCTGGGAAGGAGTTTGGCGTTTTCGGAGCCTTGCAGGATACAAAGTCTGGATTAAAGTTGACCATGACGACAGAATTGCGCTGCTTGACGAGCTGAAGTATATCGTCGGGAACGTTTCGCGGATGCGGGCAGATTGCGTATGCGGAGCTGTGGCTGAAGATTGGTGGCGCGATACTGCCGTTCCAGTTTCCGTCACCTCGACCGACGAGTACGTCGCGCATGGTGTCTTGACTCACGTGCGCTAGATCTACTAGCATTCCTAGGCGGTTCATCTCCTTGACGAGGTCGCGACCTGCGGGACTGAGACCTTTCCAGTACGGTTTCGCAATGCGCGCGCTCCAGTCGGATCCCGTCTCGATTGCTGCATCGGCATACTTGTTGTGGCAGTTCCATGTCAGAGTCGCGTATCTGACTCCAAGCTGGTAGTAAAGTCGCAGAGTAGAAACCGAGTTGCCGATTTGGTGCAACCCTTCGATAGCTGCTGGAGCAATGAAACCACCGTTTTCAAATGTCTTGATGGCTTCCGCGCTGTTCCGGGATGGAGTGAAGTATTTTGGGTACTGTTGCCCTAGGCGGTTGAACAGATCTAGCTGGCCGAGAGTTGCTTTCACGACTGCATACATTAGTATTGATACAATGCTCTGTCGAGTTATATTGCCTTACTATTGTGATATCTTTCGTCAGCAAAGTTCGTCTCGTCGCCCAATGGACAGAGCCAGAAGGCACTCCAGAAGGCACCACCTTGATGTCCCTTTTCGAGGCGAGGAGTATCGACATGCTGCGCTAGTCCGCCGTTCTCGAACTTGTCTGCGAAATCGCTGCCGGATTCATTGTAAATATGGTTGTTGTATTTGCCCCGGATGAAGATCATGAGATCGTTATGGCCATCTCTTGGGTAGTCAGCATGTGGACCTGCATTTCACGTCCGTACGGCTGACCAATGAGTGGGTTCTCTTGCAGTATCTTGAACGCTCTCTCTTCAACTGTCAATGGCTTTCCACATGCGTGCTTGTGGCCTGGAAACAACGTTCGGATCTCTGTGAGCCATATGGTCGACGCGATAAGGAAGAGGACTACGAGGAAGATAACGTCATCAAACTTGCACAGGCGCCGTCTCGAGGACCGGTGCTGGATTGGCGCAAGCTTTTGGCTGGTAGGGAGGTCGCCCGCCTTCTCCATTTTCATTTTCAAAATAGGAGATGCAGGTGAAAAGAAACATGGTGCCAGGTTGAGCTGTTATCATCCAGGTAGATCGGTCTTGGCAGGAGGGCGCGGACGGATTTTAGGAGTTTGGTCCGAAACACCACGCGACGCGAACCTCAGAAACATTACAGCCACGAACACCTCAACCTTACATCTGCCATTTTCTCCCTCGCAGCCCATAGTCCACAAGTATGGCGATAATATCAGCAAACACCATGATACGCAGTATCGCACTGTTTCACCTCACACTTGCAGTCGTCCTGCTGCGGAATCCCGCCCTGATATCGAACCAAAGCGTCATTCTCCTGCTAGGAGAGTCAATGCAGCTCGTACGTACTGCAATACTTCTGCTGCTTACTCAAGTTGTGTCTGAAGTCACTAACACACCCCAGCCAACACCCCGCGACTTCAACAAGCCCTCGGCCGCAACAGCCTTCGTAGCCATTCTCTTCGCCTTCATCGGCTTCTCCGACCTGACGGCCCTCTCCCTACACGAAGACGTTTTCGACCACTTCTGGGGTCTCCAAGCACCCATGCGTCTCCTCTTCCTCTTCGGCCTCACCTCATACTGCTATGTCTTCAAAGAAGGTGGCATGTTCGCACCAAGGGGCATGGACTTCAGAATGCACGCTGGCGCTAGTCTGAACAACAGCTTCGTATTCACATGGGGCTTCATGGAGGTTTCGGCGTGGTTCTGGGTGTTTACCACGTTGAGGGAAGAGAGGACGGAGAGGGCGAAGAAGGTTGCCGAAAAGGAGGCTCGCGAGAAGGATACGCTGTGAGACAGCTTTGAGGAGTCAGGCCACGTTTCAGAGATGCTTGAATTTGGATGGCAGGCAACTGGTTCGCTTGCAGAGTTCAAAGCCCTGTGCGGTGGTATAGAGTAGGGGGACTGAAACTGCCATGCCACGCCTCTGGAGCCGGTAGTGACCCAAGCCGTCGGGCGTAAACAACATCTCCCTACACACAAGTCGACAGCACAGCGACGGATGCTCAGCAGAAGACAACATGCCAGTTTACAAGTCGGAAACACTACTGAGCTAGTCTGCCTACTGTCAGTGGGTGCCCGCACCGAGGACAGCATACGGACATGCGAACTTGTTGCTTCGTCGGTTATCCTTCGATTCAATCATAGCCAATTCTGGATCATCGAATGTGTGTTCAGTCAGATATGTCGCCCAAGGAAATGCAAAGCCCACCTGAATCATCGATGCTGCCATGCCCAGCTGGTCCTGCGACGTGACTGGACCGGGAAGCCCTTCATCCAGACCCAGATGCATGCATGACAGGAATCACAGCGTCCTGCAAGGCGAGTGCATCAGTTCAACACTACTGGAAAGCGAAGCAACCTGTGCGGAAGAACTGGATTGAGCCTATCTAATACGTGTAGCAGAGCGTCCCTCCTTCTGTATTTAACAGGTCCTTGAGCGTGGCATTCCCTGCTAACAAGCCAATGTTGATGGTAAAGTCCAAAGTAACGTTCTTGCCGCTGTAATCAAAAGGCGTAATGGGCCCACCGACTTGATTGAGACGCGTCTCGAGATCTTTTTGTTGCCATTCCCAAAAGATGCGGTCAATGTTGCCATGATGGAGGTAGAAGAGTGGGTCTGCCATGTGTCAGCATGTTTCAGTGATATGTCTATGTGGCAGATGGGTATTGTCAGAAAGAACGAGAACCAGGCACTCACCACCAGGGCTCTCCGCCGCGTTTCCCATGGTACCCAGGATGCCACCGATACCAAAATGGCCACTGGCATGAATGTTTGGAGGATCAAAGCTTCGCTGCTTCTCAATTGTCCTTGCAATACTCGTATAATCCGGTTGTGCCAGGACCTCTTCGACCAGTCGTTTATCTGCCATTCGATTGACGATCCACGGAACAAAGTCTCGTTTCAAGCAGTGTGGAGTGGGCACGTTCACTGTGAAGTGGGGAGGCGCGAATGGCCCGTTCATTACACATCCTCCACCGGTGTTGCCTGTAATGTTCAAGGGATTTTGGGCAGGAGTAGCTGCGACAGGATAGCCGTTGCCGCCAAAACCTGTGTCAGGGTGAAAAATTTCTGAATCAAACGGACGGGAGGATGATTCGTTATGCGGTTCGGCATCCAGAGACCAGTCCCAGTATCTGCTCATTGGTTAGATTGAAAGCCATTGATGTCATGAGTGTATATTTGGACTGGCTAGCAACTTACGGTTGGCCTCCAGTATATCCGCATTCATCCCTCAGTGCCTTTTCGTAGGTTGCCGTGAAGTACCGGTGCCATAGAAGGAAGTGACCCTGAAAGTATGAGCGCGCAAGATCGAAGCTGGGCCAGAGGGGTTTGACGTACAACCCAATGGATCTGAGGCTTCTGCAGCATGTGAACAGCTTGATGATCATCGAATCGGTTTACAGCTCCTTCAATGCCGGATTTGGCCTTTGTATGTGACAAACACAGAACGGCATCGATGTAGGATTTCTTCTGTGGTTCTGACAATTGTCTCCTATACATGAAGCATCAGTCATACATCGGGCATCGTACAGCTTTTGATGGTCTTACCATTCCACCCTCTTGGGTGGATTTTTGCATGAACCCAGACCAGTAGTTGCGGGTAACGCTGCAGCTGCAGACCATTGTGACAAGCTTAACCCGACAGGGAGGAGTTCGAGAAGACGCATGACGATCGAGCCGAAGATCCAATGCTGAAACGTAAATGACGGGAGGGACTGTCACACGTGCGATGCCTTCGAAAACAGAAACGTTCTGCAGGATCTACAGTGCCTAGGTACCGAAGTGCTCTCTCGTACACCTACAGCGAAGTAGGCACCTGAATAGCTGATGAAGATTGATGATTAACAACACCCATCTATCTTATACAAAGGCTCCGCGATCTGGCTGCCGACAGCCGATCTGGAATTGCGCAACCAGATCGCCTAAAGTCTTTTTGGACCTTTCTCCCGCGGTTGCATGGGAGACATTGTTGAGTATGGCAGGGACAACTGCCGATGATCTATACCTGATCCAGGTGACAGAACCTAGGAACCCATAACATCGGTGTACTCTTTACCTGGAAGACGCGCAGGCGCAATATCTGAACCGTTCTGCTAACTTTGATCTTACAATGCGCAGCCTTGGCTTTACCAGGCGTAATCTCGTAGCCCGTTGCTTGGGTACATGTATATTGTTGCTGACATATTTGCCTTGGCTAACTACCTGGGTTTACATACAGCAGGACAATTCCATGCGATGCATGCCATCTACGGGTACTTGTAGCCTGCGCCGGAGTCATATTACTGGCTTTGCCCGTCTGGAGGACCCCGGCGTACGGGGCGAGTGGCCCGCAATGCCCGGGAGACATCCGGAGGCTCATTCGAACCTGGCTTGCCACCTCCGTAGTCAGAGAGGTTGTGTGTGGTAGATCGTTACGGAGTGTCGGGCGTAGATGCGCTTACAGGGATGGTGAGATTGCGCAGCCGCAGCGTGTTGCCAGGGTTTCTCGGTACTGCTTCTTGAATCGTGTCAGGACGGACATCACGCACCGTGATCTTCCGACCACGCGAAGGATGCAAGGACGCCGCTCTCTCTTCTTTCAGCGTTGCGCGCCTGAACTCCGACACACGGACATGAATCGAGTTCTTCTCACTGTTTCCCCGGTGGCTAAATCATCAGTTTTGGTGGATGGCCGCCCTGACGCAACAGTACTGGAGCATCACCGTTTCTGGTCGGCCACAAGCCATTTAGCGATGCTTGCATCGGACTTTGACATACATATGTATAGTGAAATCCCGTCTATGCGTCCGACGGAGCATGTTTTAGCTCTCGAACATACTCAGGTACATGCCATCTGCCTTGCGCTCCAACGGCCATTCCTGCCCTACTGTATGTAGGCCGTTACCCAGGTATGATCGGGCCGAATCTTGGTGCAGATCATGAATCTAGGCAGCCGATGTTCCTGATTACGACTGGAGTTCTAGTCCTGCTATCAACAATTGCCGTAGCTCTGAGGCGAGTACCTGCAGCATTGGCGACATCCTTGGGTAGTAGTAAGACACCGTTTGCTAACATCTGCGCAGGCTTTACTGTCGCATCTTTCGCATCCGCAATGTTGGACTCGACGACTACTTTATGGTTGCTGCCCTTCTGGTCACGATTGGCATGGCGATTATGAATGGGTTTCATATCAGCTGGGGCACTGGGTATGGTTCGATGGTTGCAAGCGTATGTGCGTCGCTAACTACGACAGACAACATTTGAAGCACTTGGATGTGCCCTCTATGCGGGTTCCCACACTCAAGCATTTCTATTTCTACCAATTAGTGTATCCTGTGGCACTGTTCTTTGTCAAGGCTAGTATATTGGCGTTGTACCATCGTATCTTTGAGCGGTTACAATTCCGGTACAAAGTGTGGTCTGTAGCTGCATTTGTCACGATCTACACAATCGTGGTTCTCTTCGTCAGTGTGAGTTCGTTACTCTGCTTCATCTGGAAATAATACTAATTCCTACAGGCTTTCGAGTGTAGACCCAAGCCATCACAAGCATGGTCACCTACGTTCCCAAAGGGATGCAACAATTTGCGAGCTACCTACTTGGCACTTGGAGGCATCAATATCCTTACCGATATCACGATCTTTCTACTACCCTTTAAACCCTTTTGGAAGCTACAGCTAGATTCGAAGCGGCGATTTGCGCTCTTTGGCGTCTTCGGGGTTGGAGGCATCGCCGTCGTTGCGTCAATAGTAAGGGTTTATGCACTATGGCTGTACAATGTCACCAAAGATATATCGTACGATTCGATATTTGTGAGTAGCTTCCAATGTGGCCCTGCTCGTCGAGATGCTGACCGATACTCAGATTCTCCTTCTATCACAGATCGAAGTAAACGTCGCTATCATATCCGCCTCGGTCCCAGCCTTACGGCCACTTCTCCGCAACACATCTCTAGACTTTAGTCAGCCGGACGCGTATGGTAGCGGCTATCGACGTACATTCAGCAGTGGATCCATCATTAATGGCCGAAGTGATCGCAATCTGATTGAGTCTAGCGGCCAAATTTCGCTTCTCTCGATGGAGAGGCGTAGGCCGGTGATAGAACGGAAAACCTCATGCGGAAGAGGAATGAATAGAAGGAGCGAGGATTCAAATCTGAAGGACGATGGTATCACGAGAACAACGGAGACAACGATAGAATTTGAGCAGATGCCTACTGACACCCTCCCACCCAGCAGGCGTTGGATGACTACCAGGCATTTGAATGATACACGGTAGAAAAATGACATGTGACACACTACACAGGATAACGACTTTGACTTGTAGGATCATGGGAACGTTCACCATCAATCAATTGACCACTCGTCTAAGCTTCAGACTTGACTTAAAGACCTCTCCCCACATTACACGCGCCAGAAAGATCGCATCAAGCAACGAGGCAGAATGACGCATCCCAAAACGTAAATCGCTGTGTTCTGAACTTCCGCATAACAAAGACTCATTATTCCACGCCACAGCTCCCTCGTGGTACCGGGCTCAAAGAAGAAGCATCAGCATGCCGGGAGCTAGTCCAAGAGCCCCGATCGTAAATAAGAACATCTCCCCAAAGCCCGAGGCACTTCCAACGCGAAGGCTGGCAGCAGCGCCGGAGAATTCTGCTGGGGTGGAGGTACTAGGCGATGCACTAATGGTAGTTGATGTAGCGGCTTCCGAGGAAGTTGCATCTTCTGAAGATGTGGTCGCCCTTGATGATGACGAGGCAATCCTAGACGTTGATGTAGGGGCCAAAGTCGAACTCGGTAGTGGTGTTGCCTCAACCGTAGGCGTCTCTGACTGTGTCTCTAGAGCAACGCTGATCGAGGCACTGATATATTCGGCCGCAGAATTGGCGGCGCCCACATCCGATGCTGTCAGCGAGAAGGTGGTGTAGTACGTCGTTTCCGTGGATGTGATCTCGTAGGTAGCCTCGAAGTAATAGTAGTAGTAATAGGTATAGTAGTATGTCAAAGAGTAGGTGTACCACGAGTAGTCGACAACAACAGGATCTGGGATTGAGCTCGCGGATGGTGCTGGTGTGATGGAAGCAGAAGGTGGATCGCTTTGGTCAATGCGAGGAACTTCAGAGTATCCGTCAGGGCAGGTCTCGCCGGGTAGATGATAGTAGTCGCCTGTGCAGCATGTACCAGTAGGTGGGATGCATGGGAGATCGCCTGATAGTATTAGTCTGAGATATGGCTCAATTGGAAAGGGTACTCACCAGGGCATACTGGAATCCATCCAGGTGAGTTGCACTCTTGAAGCTGACGAGGAGAAACGCCAGGCGCTCCTTTCAGAGGTCCCGCCTTGCCAGCGAATACGGAGTACGAGAAAGTGCTCAACAGCACTAGCGAATGAACGAGCATGATTGCTAGTAGGAAGCCGATTCTTTGTGAAAACGAGAGATGGTGATGGCAATTGAGATGGCTGTTGAGGTCCGCTGGTGAAACAACAGAATAGTTTTCTCAGCCTTCAGCAACCCCAGACTTTATACCACCATGCCGCCAAAAGAGCAGTAAACATAGCCTACCTGACAGCCTACCTGACAGCCTACCTGGCAGCCTTCCGTGATCGCAAATGTCAGCTCTTCATCTCCACTGCTGCGGTTGTGCAATATCATGCTTGGCGACATGTCGTTGTTCCAGGAACTTCGCCAATAGGCCTTATTACGGCACGCCACGAGAATGAAGTGTACAACGCCACAACAGTCCCATTGGCGGCCCATGGACGATGCGAGAAATGCGAGGAAACACGTGAAGTGTGCCTGGGGGCCAAAATCGGATTGGCCAATTAGCTATGACCTTGGTCGCTACACAATATTGAAAATAGTGCTGTAGGTCGTATAAACCTTCA